TTGGGTAAAGAAGAGATGACAGCAACAGAAGGTGTGGAGTATAAGTTTATTCTTGTGCACAAACAAAAGTACTGTGACTCACACCCAATATGCAAAAGAAATTATCAATTTCCAGATCAAGCAGCAAATGTGACCCTTGGTAGTCATGGTGAAAGGGGAGTCTCCACTCCTCTAGGATCAGAGATCAGGACCTGGAGCTGGAAAGGAACAAGAGCTAGGGTCTGAGGGGTAGGGTAGGACTGAAAAGAGGGTTGGCTCTAGGTGTTTCCTCAACCTTTCCCAGGCAGTCAGGACAAGCTGCAGAAGACAGAGGGACAGCCCTAACTGGTTTGGCTCAGTGGAGAGAGCGCCGGCCTGTGAACTGAAGGGTCCCAGGTTCAGTTCCTGTCAAGGGCACGTACCTTGGTTGTGGGCACATCCCCTGTAGGGGGTGTGCAGAAGGCAGCTGATCAATGTTTCTCTCTCATTGATATTTCTAATTCTCTATCCCTCTCCCTTCCTCTCTGTAAAAAATCAATAAAAAATATACTTTTAAATTTAAAAAAAGAAGACAGAGGGACAGACTCAAAGGAGGTAGCACAGATACCAACTGTTTTTTCAACACTCAGTATATACTCTGACATCCCCCCACCATCATCCACTTCACTCTAACAAATGCATTCTTCTCCATCACAATTCCCCCCAAATCCTCCTCTTGCCCACAGTTGGTTTCTTGTTACCTAACTTTACTCTCTGCCAACACTGCATTCTCACTCTCTCACCATGCTCCTCTTTGTGGCTCCATCGATTTCATTAATTTCTGCTCTGCTCCTGGTTCTGCCTCATTTTCCACACCATGGCTCTTTTCTTTCTGTCTCTCCGAGGCTTAGAGGACGTGAAGCCACTGATTTGTTCATTCTCAGAGGACATTTTTCTGTTTGTTCACTTCCTGGGTACTTGTTGCCCAGCATGGGCCTGTCAAGTTGCTAACTGTCCGAAATCCTGAGGAATAGAATTTTTAGTTCGATTCCTGATCTGACTGGTATAATGCAGCCCCTACAAACCGCCTTGGTCCTTCACGTCTCCCCATACTCCATACGTTTCACAAGATGCTGTATACCAGTTACAGATGCTAGTCTTCAACTGTAGTGAACCTCTTTCTCCCCTAGATTACCCATGTGGGGTCATCTCACCCTTCTTTCATCGGTGCAAGGGTGAGACCCCCCTCAGGTCTTTATTTAGATCTGTCCTCTTGCTCTTGCCTCAGACAGAAGAGCACATCTGTGCCCTTGCGTACACACATACATACGCATACATACATGCCGAGGTATATGCCAGCCAGGTTTGGAAAAGGTGAGCAGCAGAGACTAACTTAGAGCAAACAAGGATCAATTCAGTTTCATCGCTGCCTGCCTGGTGGTGAGATTCTTGTTGAGTGCTCAGTGGTAGCTTCTCTGTATACGTCTCATTGAATGTTATGAAGTTCACAGAGAAAAGAACAAAGTAGAGAAATACAAACCAGTGAGGGCACATGGGTGGAGGGACCTAGAGATAAAGACAAAGATCCAGGCAAGAAACTACAGAGACAAAGAGAAGCACAGATACCAAAGCAGAAGTATTAGGTTGGAAAGCAGCAGGGAGGTTGGGAGCCAGGAGGAACGGGGAGGGGATACCAACTCCAAAACTACCTCTGGCAGGAGGGAATCTAACCTCCAAACACCCGAGAGGTGTTTAGGTTGGATTAGGTAGGAGAAGCAACTTTAGGAACTGGAGAAGCAACTAGTTCTCCTTGGTCCTGGGAGCTGTGCCCTGCTCAGTGGTGGCCTGCACCAGGCTTCCACACCTGAGCCTGCAATCCCGTTTTGGTGGCTGAAAACCGGGGCCTGGCTACCTGGAAGCCACAGGAGCCCGGTGAGGTCCCAAGACCCCTGGGAGACTCTGGAGGAGGGGCTGGGCTGAGGACAGGGACCGAGGCCAGCTCTGCCCTCCAGATGGGCTCGTCCAATGTAGTGGCTGCTCTGGGGGCAAGCACAGTGGGGGCCAGGGGTTCTGCAGTGGGTTGGGGTACTGGAGTGGAAAATCGGCGGACCTCCTGGATTCGGGCCGTTTTGGGGGGCCCTGAGGAGGTGGGACCAGGAGTCTGGGGAGCCTTATCAAAACAGAACATGGCAGTTTTCAGTTGGTAGGGCTGGTGCCGCATGAAATCCAGAGCCTTGATGCCCTGCTTGGGGGTTGCCCGCGGCCCCTGGGATTGGGCCTTATTAGGGAGAGTTCGGGCAGCCTGGGGGAAATAGGGTGAGAGCAGCGGGTTGTAAGCAATAGGAGGCGGGGCTCGGATATTGGGTGAGTATTTCCAGGAAGGGGGCAGCGAGGGAGTAGGAGAAGGGCTTCGGGGCCGAGGGCCGAGACCAGGACTAGGTGCGGCCTCTACCACGAACCTGTCCGCTCGGCTTTGCCGCTTGGCAAATAGCTCCCCACCCCGGCCCTGAAGCCTGGGAGGCTCCGGGATTCCAGAGGAAGGGGCTGCCCCATTCACTAGCCCTTCGGGGAACCCTCGAGATGAGGGCTTGGGAGCCACTGGGGGTGGAGTCTTAGGAGCCATAGGGGGTGGAGTCTTAGGAGCCATAGGGGGCGGGGTCTTAGGAGCCATGGGGGGCGGGGTTTTGGGTGTCACGTGAGGCAGGGTCTTGTAACTCCTGCCCCCTGGTGGCTGCATGAAGTTGCAGGCTTCAGCCCCCAGGCTCAGCGCATCCTCCTCCGGGCCAGACTCCGCACCCCCGGCCCGGGGTTTCTCATCCAGGTTCTGCACCAGCGACAGCAGCTCGGGGTTGGGCGAGTTCTTCGTCTCCTCGTTCCCCTGCCGGAACA